CCACTCCTGCTCTTTACTGTTGCCATTTGCTTGATATGTCTTTTTCCAACATTTGACTTTTAGTCTATATTTGTCTTTGTTTCTATGGTGTGTCTCTTGTAGAGAGCATATTGATGGGTTTTGTTTTCTTATCCAATCTTCAACTCTCCATCTTGAGTGGCGCATTTAATCCATTACCATTCAGTGTAATTATCTAGAGGTATGAATGGCTTGCTGTCATTTTGATATTTGGTTTTTCATGGTGTTCCTGGTTTCTTTGTTCCATATTATTTTCTGTGCTGAGCTCATTATGTTTATGAATCGTGTTATCATTTCCTTTGTTGCTGTTGTTTTAATATTTGCTGAATATTTGTGCTTGTCCTCTTTTTTATTGTGATGTGGTTTATCACTTTTCTTGACATTACCCTGTGATTTATAACTTTCTCCCTGAGTTTAGAGCAGTCCATTCTATCTTGCAACTCTCTTGACTTCATCAACATTTAGAAGTTCTCTAACTACACAGTATTTCCCCTCTTTTTGGTTTGTAGTTGTCCTCTTTGCCAATTGATGTCTCTGGTTCCCTGTTTACAATCTTGTAAGCTTATTTTACTTTAGATATTTCCATAGCTGTGGTTTCTGGGTTATGTCATCTTGTGTATTAATGGTCAGTAATTGTTATTTTTGGTTCTCTGTTCAAAGGACTCCCTTTAGTCTCTTGTAAGGTTGGTCTGGTTTTAACAAATTCCCTCAATTTCTGTTTATCTGGAAATCTCCTAATTTCACCATCATATTTGAGGGACAATTTTGTGGGTCTATAAATCTTGGTTGAAAATTTTTCTCTTTCAGGGGTTATATGTACCATCCCATTGCCTTCTTGCTTGCATCGTTTCTGCTGAGAAATCAGAGGTTATTCTTACTGGTTGTCCTTTGTAAGTACCTTTTTGTTTTTGCTTTCAGGATTCTTTCTTTGCCTTTGGTTTTGATGAGTTTGACGATATGTCTTGGTGACTTTCTTTTGGGGTCTATCCTGTTTGGGGTTTGTTGGACTTCCTGAATGGATATTTTCTCATCTTTCATCATATCAGGAAAGTTCTCTTCCAACAAATCTTGGACAATTTTCTCAGTGGTTTTATTTATCTCTTCCTGTTCTGGAATTCCAATGACATGGAAGTTTTTCCTTTTGATGGTATTGCACATGAACCCTAGGCTTTCTTCATTTTGTTTTGATCTTTTTTCTGATGGATCCCTTTCCAAAGAAGTATTCAAGTATTTATCTTCAGTCTCCTTAATTCTGTCTTCCATTGCATTGATTCTACTCCTTTGTCCTTTCAATGTGTTATCTATTTCTGACAATTTAGTATTAATCTTCTGGATTTCTATCTGTAGATTTAGAATCATTTCTAATTTTTCATTTATTTTTTCATTTTTTTCTTGTATTTTCTTCCAAACTTCTTTAAGGGTTTTGTCAGTGTTTTTCTTCATCTGTGTCAATCCTTTGAAGATACCTAAAGATCATTCTTTTGAATTCCTTATCAGGGAATTCCAATGCTGCTTCTTCCTCAGGGATGTGTTCTGGGTTTGTATCCTGCTCCCTTGTTTGTACCACTTTATCTTGCTTCTTTGTGTGGAATGTGATGGTCTTTGTCTCTGAGACATTGTGACATTGTTGTATTTTGATCTCTGTTAACTATTTTTAAAGAGCAGCTAAGGGTGAGTCACACTCTCCTTGGTGGTTGTTTATCATTGGCCCACTGGTGGAGAAGGAAGTGGTGGCTTTCACTCAGTAAATGAAGCTGCAGGACGGGTGGGTATAGTTGTGTCATATGGGGACTTTTGCTCTCTCCCATTCAGACAAAAATAACAACTGAATCATCATCAAAAAAGTAAAAGCAAATGGACAAAAAACACACTGTGTAATCACACAGGAATAGTAACCAAGAAAAGAAAAAAGGGGAAAAAAAGCACTCCAATGTCTGGGGAGAGGGCAATAAGAGAAAAAAAACTAGAGAAGGAGAATAATGAAGAAAAAAATGGGAAAGACGCAAACAGAAAAACAAGGAATGGGGTTAACCATGAGAAAGAAAAAAAAATTGGAACCAGGAGCAGGGAAGAAAAAAGATGAAAACTAGAACCTGGGAAGGGAAGAGTAAAGAATAATAATAAAAAGGACAGAAGTAGTAATAATAATAGTTGTTTCAAAACAGACAACAATAAACTAAAAAAAAAAAAAAATCTGGTCATGGTGGGGCAGGCCACCTGGCTCCACCTGAGACACAGACTGGGATGGAATTCCTGCCGGCCTAGAAGGTGGGTGGGGGTGAGTGATGATCACACCTCTGCTCACCAAGAGGGTGTGGGGTATAGGAGTAGTAAGGGGAATATCACACCTTTCCCATCGTTGGCATCCAGAATGTCCTTGTGGTTCCCGGCAAGTGGTGCCTGTTCTTACGTCCCTGGAATCTGGGAGAACACTGTCACTTTAAATAACCAAATGGTCAAACTGCTTATAAACATTCAAAATGGCTGCACCCTCCGGACAGGCAAAAGTCCACAGCTCAGTCCACCTTCCTCTTCACTGTTTCCTCTTTTATTCCCCAGACACCAGAGCAGTCCCTGGTTAGCAGGGCTGATTTTTAGGTTAATTTCTAAATCCTAACACCACTCAGCAATATCCAAGGTCTGTGCCACCAGGCTGCTTGACCACAGCTCCCTATGTCTCCTTTTTTGGTGTTTTCATGCAAATTCTTCTACTAGTTGGAGTTTAGTCCACTTCTTTATCCTTCCCTTCAAATCTAGAGCTCCAGGATTATCTCCTGTATCTGTGTTAATTGGTTTCCCTCTTCTTTTTTGAAAAGGGTCTGTGTAGTCTTTCTGCCTATTCCACCATCTTACTGGAACTCTCTATTTCCTTATTTTTTTTTTTTAAATATTTTGTTGTGACTGCTAACCAGAAGGCTGGTGGTTCAAACCCACCAGCCACTCCTTGGAAGGAAGGTTGGGCAATCTACTTCCATAGTGATACCACCTCAAAAAACCAAGAAGTCGCTAGGTGTCGGAGCTGACTCGATGGCGTGAGTTTGGTTTTTTTTTTTTAAGGTGAAATATTACACAGCACATAGATTAACATTTAATAATTTCTACACAAATTATTCAATACTACTGGTTACATTTTTCATAATGTGTCATCAATTTTATTCATTCTGTTCTGCTTATACCATTTCCAGTACTCTAGTTTCCTTGTCCTTACACCTTATCTTTTGCTTTAGAGGAATTTTTTACCATTTGACCTCATATAGATTTTTCTTTAAAGGTCATTACTCATGGGTTATATTCATTATTTTACAAACTGATCTGTTGTTTAGCTAAAAGGTGTCCTCAAGGACAGTTTATGGTTTGAAGAGTAATTCAGGGCAATAATCTCAGGAAGTCCTCTAGTCTCAACTGGACTCGTAAAGAATATGAGTTCTGTTCCTTATTTTTCTCCCATTCTATCAGGATACTTCTATTATAGCCCTGATCAGAAGGGTCGATAGCGGCAGCCAGACATCATCTAGTTCTCTTCTGAGGGTAGGTAAGGCCATGGTTCTTACCTAAGTAATCAATCCTGTAGACTACCGTTTTGTCTTTGGTTTCCTTCTTTCATTCTATACCAGTAGAGACTAATAGTTTGATCTTACATGGCTGCTCACGAGCTTTTGCGATCCTAAATACTACTCATATTGGAATACAGAACATACACTTTATGAAGTATTTTATGCCAGTTGAGTTATTCTACAAAACTATGATCCTAAGCCTTCAAACCCAGAACACTAATCCTGAGAGGTGTTTGGTTATATCTAAGCATCTGTAACTGTGTCCTGTATGTGGTTTACTATATATATGGATATACATGCATGTACACATACACTTGTATATACATTTACCTATAGAGACATCTTTCTGTGCATATATGTAGCCATACATTCATAGCCATACCCATATATGCCTATATACGTATCTGTTGAACTATACATACACTTTTTGGTCGTTCCTGGTATTGCAAAATTGTATCTCTCATATCTTTTACCTAAATCGTCCTTTTCCCTTCCTCTTCACCCAAGTTAGTATGTATCTACCCTCTAGTTAAAGAGGTCTGGTGGCATAGTGCCTAAGACATTTGACTGCTAACCAGAAGGCTGGCAGTTCAAACCCACCAGCCACGCCTCAGAAGGAAAACTAGGCAATCTACTTTTGTAGAGATACCACCTTGGAAACCCAAGAAGGGGTTACTATGAATTGGAACTGACTCTATGGCAGTGAATTTGCTTTTGGTTTTTACCCTCTACTTAGTGGTTTACTCTTGTGCATGTCTTTGTGACATCATTTGCCTTGGTCAAACTATGTGCACTTCACCCATATTCAATGGTGCCTTTCCCCATCACCAAAAATAACAAGTGTTTACTATCTGGACAGTGCTACCCTGCCCCCTAACAACTGGGGCTACACATTTGAACAAGGCATGGTACCTGCCCTCAAGAAGATAACCTTACAGAAGCAGACTTTGATTCTGATTAACTTTCCCACTGACGGCTAGGGAAATCTATCCTTTAAATGGGCCTCAAGCTCCTAAAAGTTCAAGTTACCAAGTAGAGCAGGAGACGATGATCAGATACTCACAATAGCCCTGTTTCCTTCACAGAATGAAGATAATTCAGAGAGGCACCAAGAGAACTAATGTAGCATACAATGAAGATGACAACTTTCACACAAATGCAAAAATTGACTTTATTATGTTAATATAGTCTTCAATGAGCTAGCAATTATTTATATGAAGAAGAGTATAGAAAACAGATTTATGACTGTACTAGCCTTGCCTGTGATTATAGAGATTTAGAATTACACAGAAAACATTATTCTCTAGAGTAGGCACGTTGTTACGAAGACAGGTCGTCAACTTGGAAGAGCTTCTCCCTGCCTGTCCGGCTTCTCCCATCAGACCTCAAGACTTAGGTACGAGAATGGACATACTTTCTCTTTTGAATTTAAACCTTAACAACAGTTCGAATACTGTAAGAGAGGAAGCAAATAAAAATATATCATGAATACTACCTTTTTCTTAAGGCCACTCTAATTGTATTATTTTGGATCCCCTGTCCCCTTAAAAAGAATCACAATTATTTTTTAGCCCCCCTGCCCCACAAGGAGGAAAGCTCTAATGGCTAAGGCATTTGGTTGCTAACCAAAAGGTTGGTGGCTGGAACCCAGCAGAAGCTCCATGGAGAAAGATGAGGCAGTCTGCTTTTGTAAAGGTTTAGAGCCTTGAAAACCCTGTGGGGCAGTTCTACTTTGTCCTATAGGGTTGGAATTGACTCGACAGTGGTTGATTTTGCTTTGTCCCCCCCCATAAACTTCAAACCATTATCACATTCTATAATATAAAGCGAAAGAGGAAGCTTACCTCTTTCCAGCATGCATCAGTTCAAAGGCATCATTAATTTGGTCAAAGGACAGATTGTGAGTCACAAATTCATCAACTTTTATCTTTTTAGACATATATTCAGACACCAGCTTTGGGATACTTTCTACACTCTTCCATCCTAAAAGAAATTATATGTCTAGTCATTAAATTATTCAACACAAATTTTACAATATGTGTATAACTTAAGTTTTCTTTGGATAACAAGATATTTATGCAATTTTTTTTTTTTTTTTTTTTGCAGTTGAGGGAAGACAAATTTGACATACATCTTTAGTAAAGAAAAAAGTAAATGGCTTTTGGATATTTTCCTTTTTTGTGTATTAAAATTTACTAAAATCTCATTAATGTTTCAGGCAATTGAGACTTTTAAATTACCCAGAACAGAACTCTGAACTTTTCAAAAAAGTTTCTTGAGGTCCACAGAAGCAAAGATAGCTTTAATCTTGAAACTGAAGAAGAAAGAAATTGATGTGATACATGACTCTATTTCCTTGGTCTTAAATTCAACAATTAAATAGGGATGGCATCTCAGAATAGGAAACCACGAAACTGAGATGCAAAGTATGAAACCTTCAGCAACATGACAAATTGTAACAAAAATTTAGATGCTGTGATTTCTCAATTGTACTGAAAGAAGCGATAAATTAATGAACCTTTCCTATCTTTTAAACCGAAGATGTTTTATATCATATTCAAAACATCTTTTGAGCCTTGTCCAAATTTCCCTTCTTATGTCTTCTGTCAGTTATTTTCTGTTATTGTGGGGAGGTTTTCTTTTTTCTTTAAATTTCCTGGTAACTGAGTTGACCATGGCCATCACAATTTTCAAAACTCAAGTTTCTATTTATTTCTCTGGGTCATATTTTAGCAACACCCAAGATGCCCCAATGTTTCATATTTGCAGGCTGGCATGTGCTGGTATGAGCTTCGGCTGGAGGTTATTACCTGGACTCCATGGTTGGAGCACCCAGATTCTGGTCTTTCACATATTTCTATGGGCCCTGAGATGAAGGCCCAGAGTATGTGTGGATGTATGGGTTAAAGAGTCTATCTTAAGGTACTTCGTTTGGTAAACATCAAGGGCTTTGGAAAGAGATGGGTAGTCAGCTTGAAATTTTCTAAAGGAAATACTGTAAGAAGGAAAATTTTGGCCACATCCTTCACTTTAGCATACCTTCCTATCTTCAAATCTTAAAAAAAAAAAAAAAGGCAGACAACGAAGTAGGGGATATTAACAGATACCATGATTAATAAAAATAATCATCCAAAATTTATGCTATGTAATTAATTTTTTCCTAAAAGAATGATGACATAGAAATTTCATTAAAAAAAAAAAAAAAGCCTGTAAAAGCTTTAGACTCCATTCATTCACAACAGTTTGGATACATAAAATGTTTTGATACATTTTTCTTCCCTACCAGAACGACCATGAAAAAGGTGGAAACTGTTCTTCTATACATTCTACTGGTAGTTATGCAACCCCAAACTACCAAGCACTTTTTAAGATCACACAAAGGAAAAATTATCAGTCTAACACTTTTTCAGTTTTGTTATAAAGTTTTGTCTAATTTAGTATTTTCAGTCACTAAATTAGATAAAGGCGCTCTGGTAGCATAGTGCCTAAAGCACTTGACTGCTAACCAGAAAGCTGGTGGTTCAAACTCACCAGTCACTCCTTGGAAGGAAGGTTGGGCAATCTACTCACGTAGTGATACTGTCTTGGAAACCCAAAGAGGGGGCGCTATGAGTCAGGTCTAACTTGATGGTACATAACAACAACAATAAATTAGATAAAACTTTATAGAAAATTTTTATTAAAGCAAATGGAAGACATGCCAAGACAAAAGAGCTAAATAGAAGATTTCAAAGAGCATCTTGAGAAGTCAAAATCAATTACTATAATGAAATGTGCAAAGCCCCAGAGTTAGAAAACCAGAAGGGAAGAACATGCTCAGCATTTCTCAAGCTAAAAGAACCGAAGCAAAAATTCAAGCCTTAAGTTGCAATATTGGAAGATTCTGTGGGCAAAATATTGAATGATGTAGGAAGCATCAAAAGAAGATGGAAGGAATACACAGAGTCACTCTACCAAAAAGAATTGGTCGATGTTCATCCATTTCAGAAGGTGGCATATGATCAAGAACCAATGGCACTGAGGGAAGAAGTCAAAGCTCCACTGAAGGAATTGGCAAAGAAAAAGACTCCAGGAATTGACAGAATACCCACTGAGATGTTTCAACAAACAGAGGCTGTGCTGAAAGCACTCACTTGTCTACGCCAAGAAATTTGAAAGAGAGCTACCTGGCCAACTGACTGGAAGAGATCCATATTTGTACCCATTCCAAAGAAAGGTGATCTCACAGAATGTGGAAATTATCAAAAAATGTCATTAACATCACACCCAAGTAAAATCTTACTGAAGACAATTCAAAAATGGTTGCAGCAGTATATTGACAGAGAACCTCCAGAACTGCAAGCTGGATTGAGAAGGATGTGGAACAAGGGGTATCACTGCCGATGTCAGATGGATCTAGGCTGAAAGCAAAATATCAGAAATATGTTTACTTGTATTTTACTGACTGTGTAAAAGCATTTGATTGTGTGGATCATAACAAATTATGGATAACATTAAGAAGAATGGGAATTCTACAACACTTGGTTGTGCTCATCAGGAACCTATCCATAGACCAGGAGGCTGTCGTTTGAACAGAACAAGGGGATACTGCATGGTTCAAAATCAGGAAGGGAGTGCGTCAAGCTTGTATCCTTTCACCATACTTATTCAATCAGTATGCTGAGCAAATAATCTGAGAAGCTAGACCATATGAAGAAGAACGTGGTGTCAGGATTGGAGGAAGAATCATTAACAACCTGCGATACGCAGATGACTCAACTTTGCTTGCTGAAAGTGAGGATGACTTGAACCACTTACTGATGAAGACTGAAGACTGAACCACTTACTAATGAAGACTGAAGTCTGCAATATGGATTACACCTCAACATAAAGAAAACAAAAATCTTCAAAAGTTAGTGCACTGGACCAAGAAGCAGCATCATGATAAATGGAGAAAAGACTGAAGTTGTTAAAGATTTCATATTACTTGGTTCCACAATCAACAACAATGGAAGCAGCAGCTAAGGCATCAGACAACGCATCACACTGGGCAAATGTGCTGCAGAAGACCTCTTTCAAGTGCTAAAGAGCAAAGATGTCTCCTTGAAGACTAAGGTGCACCTAACCCAAGCCACGGTATTTTCAATTGCCTGACATGCATGTAAGAGCTGGACAATGAACAAGGAAGACCGAAGAAGGTTGCTAATTTTGAGTTTCAGTGTTGGTGAGGAATACTGAAAGTACCATGGAAATCCAAAAGAACGAACAAAAATGTCCTGGAAGAAGTGCAGCCAGAATGCTCCTTGGAAGTGAGCAGGGCCAGGCTCCGTCTCACCTACTTTGGTCATATTGTCAGAGGGACCATTCCCTGGAGAAGGATATAATGCTTGGTAAAGTGGAGGGTCAACAAAGATGGGGAATGCCCTCACTGAGATGGACTGACATAGTGGCTGCAACAATGGGCTCAGGTATATCAAGGACTGTGAGGCTGGCACAGGTCCGGGCAGTGTTTTGTTCTGTTGTATGTAAGATCGCTATGAGTCAGAGCTGACTTGATAGCACCTAACCGCCACCACCACCACCACCACCACAGTATTTTCAGTATTGGTTAATACTGAAGTCAGTACTCTTCAGACAGAGGTGTGGTCACATCCTGTTGCTACTTCTCTGAAAAATGAATAAAAATGTTGATAATCTACTTAAGTCTGCAACAAAAAATATAGTGTGGCAGACACTGTTTGCTTACTCTGTAACCAACTTCCCACCCCCTGCCCTATCCCAAATTATTTTCTTATTAACAGAATGTTGGTTTTTTAAAAAGTGTATGGAACAACTAATCATGTGCTAAACACCTCCCTGCCCCCAGGGGGAAATACTGAGTTTGAAACCCTTCCACTAAAATAACCTTGCACACAACAACATACGATGAGAAGGTTAAAAACCAACACCAAACCTATTGGTGTCAAATTGATTCTGACTCATAACAATCCTGTAGGACACGGCAGAACTATCCCATAGGGTTTCAAAGGCTATAATCTTTACAGAAACAGACTGTTAACATCTTTCTCCTGTGGAGTGGCTGGTGCATTCAAACCGTCAATGTTCTGGTTAGCAGCTGAGTGATAATGAGAAGGTAGCCCATGAAAATAATTGTTAATATAAGAAAATTAACTTGGTAGAGTGGGAGAAAAATGTGGAACAAAACTCAAAATCATAAAAAAGACCAGGCTTACTGGTCTGAAAGAGAATGGTGAAACATTTGAGACTATGGCCCCTAGTCACCTTTAGTCTTGGAACTGAACTCACTCCTGTGCTTCCAGCCAAACAACAGACAGCCTACAAAGTGAACAATTATTACACCAGGTAGATACACTTCTTCCAATAATCAACCATGGAAGATTAGAAGGGCAGCATTTGCACAGGGAAATAGCTCAGAGGGCAGGAATGCATAGGACATAAGGATAAAGGGAAAATGTAACCACAGGGAGGAGGTGGAAAGAGATCTGTTACATTATGGAGGATTGTAATCAATGTCATGAAACAAAGTATGCAAGAACTGTTGAATGGAAAACCAGTTTGCTTGTTAAGCATTCACCCAAATCACAAACGAAAAAAAAAAGAAAAGAAAAGAAAAAGAAAATTAGTCTGGGATTAAAATGCTGCCAATGAAATAACAAGAGAGGAAATAATGCCATCTCATCCATCAAACTACCTCCAAAGGCAGTGCCTTTCCATGTGCAACCTGTTACCAGCTGGAATGGACGAGTAGAGATTTCTTCACCAGAAGCAGCTACTCCAACCACGACGCTGACACCCCAACCCTTGTGGCAAGCTTCCAGCGCTGCTCTCTGCAGGCACAAAGACAGGACCAAATCACAGAAGTTAGTGCGCTTTGCTAAGAATACAGGCTTCCCTAGAAATTTCCAGAAGTTGGGGGGTAGGGGATAATGGCACATCACCTTTAAAAAGACAGTAAAAATATGACCAAACTGAATGTTTAGTAAGCTTAATTTTACTGATCAGTTATATATATATATATATATATATATATATATATATATA